AAACACAGATAGTATCGACGCCCCGATTGGTGTCCACCATAAGTGGTGTGAAAGCGATCGCTTCCACCGGTTTTAGTACAATATTTCACACGACAAACGGCCTGTACTTATGCGGTCACTTTACCGCTTTTGGTAAGCGCCCGATAAATTTGCCCAAGTTAATACCGTGCAAGCAACGTGTTCAACAGTTGCAGCACATTTGGTCATACTTTGACTATGATGAAGAGTTTGTGTGTGTTTTAATTGACAATAAAGTGAAAAAAATATCTAATGAATTCAAATTAATTGATACAAAATATGATAATTTTGTCGACTTTTACGCTAATGAATACCAAATAACTTATAAAACTATTAATTTGAATCAATTAAATGACAAAACAATATTAACATCGATTAAAAGCGAAATTAAAAGTGAAAATAAAAGTGAAACTAAAAGTGAAACTAAAAGTGAAACTAAAAGTGAAAATAATAGCGAAATTAAAAGTGAAAACAACAGCGAAAATAAAAGTGAAAATAATAGCGAAATTAAAAGTAAACCGAAAAAGAAACGGAAAAATAAAACTAAAAGTGAAGATAAAAATGAAAACAAATTAAATAATAATTCAAGTGATAGTAATTATAACAACCAATTCATTGAGATGTCAGCCATAGGTTCGGGTAGTTTTGGGACTGTATTTAAAGTAAAACACAGATTGGATGATAAGATATATGCTGTTAAAAGAGTGCAGTTTGGAGGTAAATATCATTACTATTTGTTTTATTTATAAAATTGTAATTATTTTAATATTGTATAAATTATTTCTACAGATATTAGTGAAGAAACAAAACAAATAGTTCTCAACGAAGCGAACAGTTTATCAAATTTGGACTCAGATTTTGTGGTCAAATATGAAGATTCATATCTTGAGTCCAATCATCTCTACATTCAGATGGAATTCTATTCCCAAAGTCTTCGAACTGTTCTCAAAGACAAAGCCATTGTCTTCGAGAGACAACCGGACGAACCGATGAATGTCTTTGAATACTTTACTTCGTGTGAAATATTCAAAGAACTCTTAGAATGTGTTGAATATCTTCACTCATCTGATCCACCGGTCATTCATCGAAATCTAAAACCCGAAAACATATTAATTGATCCCAACTTTACATCCAATCGTTGTGTAAAAGTGTGTGACTTTGGTTTAGCCACTGATCACAACATCCATAGACAGACTGTCAGTCCATTTGTGCACTCAGTTTGTGGTACTTTTGGATATATAGCGCCCGAAGTACTTATGGGTAAACAATATGACCACAAATCAGACATTTATAGCCTCTCTATAATCGGCGAAGAGTTGTTTGGTATTGATCTCCAGGAGTAAGTAATTTATCACTATTTAAATGTTTAATATTTATTATAATTATATTTTGTATGAAATAATAGTTGGAAATTAATTGAAGCGAAAGAGTTGTCGTTCAAAAAATGCATACAAAGCATATACGGGACACTTCTGGATATGATGTCAACACCTTTTTGGAGACAAAGGCCTGAGTGTCGGGAAGTGTTGGCCAAACATAACGAGTGGTTTATCGATAAGACTGTTGTCACGAAACAAAACAATTTTCATGAAGTTTTTAATACACTTAAATCTAATGATAATTCAGTTTTTTATCAAATACTGTTTTGCAAAACACAATAATATATAATTTATCACTTTTTTTAACAATTACTTTTATTAATTTAATTACGGTAACATAAAATAATATATTCATTATAATTAAACCAATTGTACTTTCAATAAGTTTTATTACTTTACAATAAATAATTAAAAATAAATGCAAAACAATAATTAAATTATATGTCAATTGAATACAACAAATAGAAGACAAGAAGTGATGACTGGGAATGAGTATCGCATCGATTGCATCACTGATACGGATGTCGAGCGTGAGGTCCGGTCGGCGCCCCCGCCGTCACCCGAACTCTTGGGCTTTGATCTGATGGTCAGTATTCATGTAATTCTGATAGAGATTCCTGAATAGAGCCGTTAGTTTTGGCGAAGTTTGTGGACCAGTACTGCCTCTCTCTGTGTTTATTCTGTGCAACACTTGTATAGCAAAAACTTTATTC